GAGCTGAATATGAGACAAAGGAGATGGTTAGAGTGGGTTAAGGATTATGACTGTGAAATTAAGTATCAACCTGGAAAGCCAATGTAGTAGCTGATGCCTTGAGTAGAAAAGCTTACTTGTCCCACTCACAAGGCATAAAGAATATAGAAGAACTGTGCAAAGAACAGATTGAGGTCATACCAGAGGATTGCCAGGTTAGAGGTTCAGTTCACTTTACTGGAAGAAATCAAGGAAAGTAAGCTCCCGATGAGTGGTGTCAGAAATAAGTCAACATTGCTTGAAGGTAAGTACTAGAGTTCCATCTGTTAGATGGTGTTCTTCATTTCAGGAGTCGTTTGTGTGTTCCTCAAGATGATGAGTTAAAGAAGAGAATTCTTACGAAGGCTCATGACACACCATACACTGCTCATCCTGAGCCACCGATGTATCCAGATTTAAAGAAAGACTATTGGTGGCCAGGTATGAAGAAGGATATTGGAGATTTTGTAGCTAGGTGCCTGGTTTGTCAACAAGTGAAAGCAGAACACCAAAGGCCATCAGGATTGCTTCACTGCTTAGTATTCTTGATGGAAATGGGACAGTATTTCGATGGATTTTATTATAGGTCTCCCTAGAGGGCAAAAAGGGTTTAATGCTATATGGGTGTAGTAGACAGATTGACCAATCAACCCATTTTCTTCCAGTAAAGGAGAGCATACTTCAGATCAATTGGCCCAAATTTACATTAAGAGATAGTGAGACTGCATGGAGTACCCAAGACAATAGTATTAGATAGAGATTCTAGATTTGTCTCAGCTTTCTGACTAGTTTACAGAGGAACTTGGGTACCAGATTGGCTTTTAGTATCGCCTACCATCCTCAAACGATGCCAAACAGAGAGAACGAATCAGATACTTAGGATATGTTGAGGCTTGTTGCATGGATCAGGATGTCTTGGCATGAGATGTTATGTTTGGTGAGTTTGCTTATAATAATAGCTTCAGTCTACAATTAAGATGACTCTTACGAGGCTTTGTATGGTAGACGTTGTAATCTCCATTACATTGGGATAGATAAGCGAGAAAGATGAGTTGATACAACTCTTGGGCCAGAACTAACTCAGAAAATTATAGAGATGTCAAGTTAATCAGAAGTAGAATGAAACAAGCCCCAGAGCATAAAACCTATGCATACTTGAAGAGGAAAGATGTTGAATTCGAAGTGGGTGATAAGTGTTTCTAAGAGTTGCCTCCTACAAACGGGTGATCGTTTCGATAGCAAGGGAAAGTTAGCACTGAGATACATTGGTCCCTTTGAAGTTTACAGCGAGTGGGAAAGGTAGCCTATAGGTTGGCTTTACCACCCAGCATGGATAGTACACAATTTATTTCATGTCTCGATGCTTCGGAAATATGTAATGATCCCTCCCATATATTGTGTAGAAGATGTGGACTAGAAAAAATCTTGTGTATGAGAAGCGTCCAGTTCAGATATTGGACAGAAAAATTAAAAAGCTCCGGAACAAGAGTATCCCTTTAGAAATCCTCTGGAGAAATCATAAAGTTAGAAGCTACATGGGGTGGAGCAAGATATCAAACAGTTACCCGAGTTGTTTGTTTGAATTTCGGGGACAAATTCTTATAGAGGGGAAGAATTGTAACGCCCACATAGAGGTACATAATTTAATTTATGCTCCTATACCTTTAATTGATTTTTGCAAATTATTTGAGAAAATGTGAAGGAAATGACTTAAACTTGCATTAAGGGTAAAATGGTCTTTTCACTCAAAATTAGTGAATTTGGGGAGTGAAAAGAGATAGAATTTCATGGAGAATGCATAAAATAGGGCATTATGGAATTGAATAAGGGACATAGATGGAATTTTAAAGAAAGTACAGGGCAAATGGGAAACTAATATATAATTTTTATGTTATATCAATTAAAGAGTGAAACCCTATCCACTCTTACCCATTTGCACGCCACTTGCACCCCATATTCTCCCAAATTCTTCAAATTTTCTTCAAGCAAATTCATAGGTTTTGGATGTTTTTGAGTGGATTTTCAATCTTAAGCTTCTATAGGTAAGATTCTTGCACAAAAGTGATTTTAGTTTTTAAAGTATTGATTTTGATGGTTTATGCTCTAGATTTAGAGGAAAAGAGTTTGATCAAGGAAAATTCTTAAAGGGTGGAATTTGCTCATATCAAAGGTAGTAAATCCTACCCTAGTTGATTTAAGTTAGTTGTGTAGAGAATTTTCTTTGTGCATATATATGTGGTATATGTAGAATTGTTGTGGTTTGTTGTTGAATAATAATTAGAACCTATTCATGAGAAGTTGGGTTGGTGTACGTGTACTTGATGAATGTTTGGTTGAATTTGGAAGAGTTGAAGTGAAAATTTGGAAGTATTTATTTTGGGCAGATTTGGAGTTAATTTGAGGAGTTTATTCCAAATTTTGGTGGCCTAAAATAGAGATAGAAGTGTACCCAAATTAGTGTTAATTATGCACATGAATTGTTTGATGAAATGTCAAGAGGATTGCTGTATGAGTGATTGTGTGTACTTGGGATGAGTTTGTAGATGGTAGAGAAGGCATGTTTGCATTCCAAGTATAATTGCATTTAAACATGTAATTTGTTGATAAACCGAAACCATCTACATGCATATTTCATAAGAGCATGAAAAGCCTAAAATGTGTTAAAGAGAAAAGAAATAAATGAGAATATTAAAGGTATTCAATTTGAAATTATACCTAAGAAGTGTAAAGATAAAAAAAAAATAAAAAAAAAAAAAAAAGGTTGTTGCGATGGGGAGCCGTGAGTGACATAGTTCCACAGATCACGGTCTCAGCAAGCTCAAGCCAAGATCTACGCTGCAGGAAAAGAAAAAGAATATAGGGTCTAAATTAATACATAAAAAAAAAAGAGGTATGAGAATAGACGTTAGAAATCAGAAAGAAGAATTATACAGTCTGTTAGAAGTGCGTGTGGATGAGGACTGTACCCAGATTAGAGATTAACTCACACGGCTAGGCTCCAAACCATGCTCAACAGAGTCCGATCGCAAGAATAGAAAGAAAGAAAGAATAGAAGAAGAAGAATAGGGGAAGAAGAAAGAAAAAAATAGAAGAAAGACTAGAAAGAAGAAAGAAGAAATAAGAAAAAGAAATAGAAACCATAATAAGAAAGATAGAAAAGAAAATGCATACTTTATGCATTTGTGCATTTGCATCATGAATATGCATAATACCATGCTCATTATCTTGAGTAGAAAAATTAAAACAGAGAGAAAAACAGAGAAAGAATGAAAAGAACAGAGAAAGAATAGAGAAGAACAGAGAGAAGAACAGGAGAATAGAAATAATCAGGAAATATGAGTAGAGGAGAAAATTCGGAATTTAAGCAACGGAGAAGAAGGGTAGCATAGCGGGTTTACTTATTAGTTAATTAGTGCTCACTCTGTTATTTTTAATGTTTTGGCAGTAATAGGTGAGTTGCGGTCACACAGAACGTCGCACAGTGACGTTGGCTACACTGTCACGTTGTTTTTTTTTTAGTATATTTGTTTATAAAGAAAAATTAAATATGAGCCCATACCTTATTACTCGTTATATGTGTTATTTCTATATATATTGTTATGAGTTTTATTAATTATTTACAAGCATATTAGCTAGAAAGAAAGCATTACATACACCAGAATTGACGAAATGGTGCACGACTGGCCAATCTAACAAGTCGTGCGCTGATATGAACATTTCGGCCATTGATATGACCGAAATGGTTAGATGGACGTGGATCTGAATGGAAACTGTTAGATCTACTTTGGTAATTTTTGGCCAATCAATGACTGTTACAATCAAATCAGTGGCCGTTGTGTGCCAATATCTGGTCGTTAACGGTCAATCAATAGCCATTAACAGCCAGATTTGGTCGGGCCATGTCCTACCAGATCTACGATAATTGGAATTAAAGGGTAAATGTGATAAAGGCAGAAACTGAAGATATCAAATCAGAAAAAGTTTCAACATAAAACACCAAGCACTCAAGCTGATCAACGTTCCAATACTTCGAATTATAGCTGCAGTCAATAACGTTACTATGTGGGTCAAATAAATTGTGCATTATCTCTGTATATATTTCTATAATTATTATTAAATTGCCAATTTCCTTAATTTCAGCTTCCATGACGAATGGATGCGGAGATATTGTTACAGTAATAAATATTTATTTTCTTGACTCGTAATGAATGACGTTTTTACAGCGTGATAGGGTTTTTGACGTTAGGACTTCAATGCATCAAGTCAAGATGTCCCATGGAAAATTTCTAAAAACAACTCTGAAATTGACAAATTTCCCACTAATATTTTTTATGATTAATTTTCTGAAGATTTCTACCATATAATGAAAATCTTCCTTGATGAAAACATACAATTTTTTTTATTTTTTATTTTTTATTATGTTACCTCACGTCGCTTTCTCACACCCTTGCTGCCTGGTCAATAACTGCAGTATAATCTGTACACAAATTTCAACATAACTGAAATATCAAACTTGCTCCTATACTTTAAAATCTGAACTTCTCCATCTTTTCAGCCTTGAGAAATCAAATAAGAACCATGCTTAACTTGTTCTTGAAGCTTGTTTTACTATTCCCTCATGTTTTGCCACTCTTTGCAAAACCTGCAACCAAAAAGAAGGAATCACTCTTGTCTATAAAACTCAGCATATATTCTCCTGCATAAATTGGACCTCTTCGGTCGACTGCTGCCTATGGGAGGGATCGAGTGTGATGCGAACGGTCGTGTCACTCATTTACAGCTTCCCGGGAGAGACCTTAGCGGCTCATCTCCCCATCAATTGGGAACTTGACACATCTTTTGCACCTCAATCTTTCACACAATCACCTTTCCGGTCCTCTCCCTCATCATTCGCTTTTGTCTTTAGTTCTTGTTGAAGTTCTGATTTGAGTAATATTCTCTTACAGGTGATTTCCATCATCTTTGTCATCTAAAGTCATTAGATGTTTGATTTATCTGGCAATAATTTCAAGGAACGATTCCATCATCGTTCTTCCAGCTATCAGCAGGAAATTTGGAGAGTTTTAATGTCAGCAAAAATAGTTTCACAGGTCTTATCCCTTCCTTTAGCTGGACAAAACTTCCTGCATTCTCAGGATTCTGGATTTCTCAACAATGATTTTACAGGTCCAATTCCTCCAGGACTTGGAAATTGCTCAAGACTTCAGGTTTCCGGGCAGCCTGTAATTATATCATAGGTTCACTACCTGATGACATTTATGCTGCCACATCGCTTGAAGAGCTCTCCTTACATGTTAACTCCCTATCTGACCCATCACAACACCATTGTCAACATCACAAGCCTTATCATTCTTCACCTTTATTCTAACAATTTGACTGGCTTCATCCCTCAGATATTGGCAAGCTCACCAACTTGACACATTTGTACCTTCATGTGAACAACCTATCTGGCTCTCTTCCTCCATCCATGAAGAATTGCATCAATCTCATAAAACTGAATTTGCGGAATAACAAACTTGAAGGAGATCTTTCAGCATTTATTTCTCAATGCTTCGCCATCTTCGTACGATCGACCTTGGAAACATAACTTCACAGGTAGCTCCCCATCAACTCTTATTCATGCAAGTCACTAACTGCAGTAAGGCTTTCCGGTAACAATATAGAGGGAGAATTTCACCTGAAATAGTTGCATTGGAATCATTGTCTTACCTCTCACTTGACCAAAACCGATTAACAAAGCCACTGCAGCAATCAGATTTTGACAGGTTGCAAGAACCTCAGTGTTCTATTCCTTTGTAAAACTTCAAGGGTGAAATGATTCCTGATATATTACCTTCTTATATGCATTTCCAAATCTCCGTTTCTGGCTTTGAGTAAATCCCATTCCAGGGTCAAGTTCCTTCCTGGATAAGTAATCTCAGGAAATTACAGTTCTTGGACTTAAGTTTGAATCAAATCACTGGTTCAATTCCAGGGTGGTTAGGGACTATGACAACTCCATTCTACACCGATTTGTCTTATAACCTTCTGTCCGGAGAGTTTCCGAAGGAACTTGGCGGATTGCCAATGTTGGTATCAGAATTACAGACTGCGAAAAAAATTGGTGGGAGCCGCTTAGAGTTACCTCTCTCTATTCCTCCCAATATCAATGCTTCTAATGAAGAATATTATAGTCTCCTCAGCTTACCACCATCAATATTCCTCCAAAACAATAGTCTCAGTGGCAGTATCCCCATTGAGATTGGCCAATTACAATTTCTTCAATTGCTTAATCTCAGCAATAACAAATTCTCTGGAAACATTCCTAATCAAATATCGCAACTGACTAACTTGGAGAGATTGGATATATCCAGAAACAATTTATCTGGTGAAATCCCTGCCTCGTTCAGTGGTCTCTACTTCTTGTCGGAGTTCAGCGTTGCAAATAATAATCTTCAGGGTCTGATACCTTCAGGAGGTCAGTTTCATACTTTTTCCATCTCCAACTTTGAAGGAAATCCAGGTCTGTGTGGTGATATTATAGAAACCTCATGTTCTATTCAAACAAGAACGAATAATAATCCTGTTCCTTCTCCAAGTGAATCTTCAAAAAAGGAGCTTGTTTATGGACTCACTGCTGGAGTTGTTTTCGGATTTATTATAGGGTCCATAGGTGGGATTTTTTGCCCAATTCGTGTATATAGTTTATTCAGAACTCTCTGAATTTCTCTTAACAAGTGATTTCAGATTTATCAGTGAAGTAATCCGGCTAATTTCTGTCTCTTCTCAGCAATGTTCTTGTATTTTCTACTTTTACATTCTCACCGCCAATCACCGAATTTTTTAAACAATTGAGAAAGGATTCAATTACTTCATTAAAAAAACCACTGATATACTAAGAATTAAATAATAAATAACTAGAAAAATATAACAACAAAACTGAATAGATGGACACTGAATATTTTCAAGTCTAATATGGTTTGATTTGATGAGCGGAAGCTCTCAAATTCCTGAGAAGTTTCTCAAATTTCAAGAAAATTATCAAATTCACAAAAAACAATAACTGAACTTGACTTTAAAAAAAAAAAAAAAAAAAAAAAAAAAAAAAAAAAAATAAGACGTCCTAAATAATACTTGTAATAATTAAAATAGAAATTGAACGACTTTAACTTGGTAAAACAAGAAAATTAGTCAAACTAGCAAACTTTTATAATTGGTTTAGAGAACTATAAGTGCAATATTATAGGGTGCGTTTGGTTTATTATTTTGGATATGATTTTGGGGATAGTATTAGATAGTTAGATAGAGTTATGATTATAAGAATAGGACTTGCAGAATATGTGTTTGGTAGAGTATTTTGACCTTGATATTTGTGTTAAATATTTGATTAATATATTTTTTTATAAATGATTTATTAATATAATATTTTGTTGCATTTTGTTAAAATAATGTATTATTATATATATAACTTATCAAGTTACATTTTAATAATACTAAATATTTTATTGGTAATTTTGTCACCCGTAGATATTAAAAAACAAAAACTCATATTAATTTCAAGTACTAATCCAACTGTTTAAAAACATTACATTAATACATATATGACAAAAGTACTAATTAGCAACCCTTACAATCATTATTATACGTATACTCCATTAACAACTACGACATGGTCCACCGTGCTGCCCACAATGCATTTGTTATGTTATCCCATACAGTCGTCATGTTGTCTATAATACCTTGTTGCGGTTGACTCGGTCCTTCTCCATTTTGGCCATATTTTGCCCCGTTTTGACGATCACAATATACTTGCTCATTACCCGTACTATTATTGGTTTGTTCAAAGATACAGTCGTTTATATTGTACATTCTGATAAAATTATGAAGTACACAACATGCCATAATAATCTTCCCTTGTTTGTCCAACGAGTAATTGTTCATTCCATTTAGAATACGGAACCGTCTTTTCAAAACACCAAAGGTTCTCTCGACAACATTGCGGAGTAAAGTATGTCTATAGTTAAACAACTCTTGTGGCCCCCTTCGGTTATGGCGGTGATCAGAAATATAGTAAGCCACTCGCCTATGAGGGCCGAGGAACCCATCTCTATTTGGATAACCCGCATCAACCAAATAGTATTTCTTTGTAATAATATCAAACATTTTATTTGAATTACAGGGCCTCAACAGTGGAGGTAATACGTTATAATACGTCAAGAAAATACTTATACCTGGTGGAGGATGTGGGAATCTAGAATTAGGATCATCAAGAATTGAATTTAAAACTCTTGAATCATGCGCAGATCTTTCCCATCCAGTAACGACATAAATGAACATCATCTTAAAGTCGCATACAGCCATTACATTCTGTGACATCGTTCCTTTGCGATTCCGGTACCTATCGGCAAATTCACGTGGAACCGAAGCGTATACATGTGTGCCATCCATGGCTCCAATATAGTCCTATCATGAAAATTGATTTTTACTCATATTAACCTACTATAAAAATTAATAACACAATGAACTTAACTATCTACCAATAGCAAACATAATGAACCAGTACCTTAAAGAAAGGGTAATATTTTTTGTTGGCTGATATTTCACATGGAACATCATTGAAGTCAGGTGGTCTGATAAACTCTGTCTTCAACTCACATATAGCGTCGCAAACTGCGGTAACATGTCTAGAGATCATCTCACCCGAATGTTGGAAATCCTCCATCATCGTTCTGATTATCTCGTTTTTTCCAACGATTGTTAGAAATATCATAACTTGTTCTTCCAAACTCGTCCTCCTGCTTGGTTGCAATTTGCCTTGATCGGACAAAATTTCACATAACAATGTAAAACAGTCTTTGTCCATGCGGCACTTGTCATAGATCCTGTCAGGATGACCGTTGAGTACTTCCAACATGTACTAATGACCAGTTAATACAGATGTATGTCGTAGTTCATGCCTACTTGCTTCTAACGTGGCACCACCGTAGAGTGCAATGGCTATATCTGTCAGTATTTCTTCTTTGTCCCTCTCATCTATAGCACGTCGTCTTTTTTCTGTACGGCTAGACGACGCCATTTAAACCTACACATTTGCAAAACATTTATCAACAATTATCAACAATTAATAGTTGTTGTACTACTTAGCAAAAATATAACAGTCAATATTTAATTGTAATGACAATCAAAAACGGTGTTTACACATGTAATATCACATAAATAAGTTCATACAGTAGCATTATAAATTGTAATTGTAATGACAACTGCCCACTGACGAATACAAAATTGTTATCAAACACTTATGAAATATAGTGTCATCTACTTATTGGGAAAGCTGTTATAAATCCAGTTAGCATTTTCCTCCAGTGGGAGTTTCACGAATATCTCTCACCACCCTGGATTTTCATATAAGTACGTGACAACAGGCAGGTAAAACTGTGTCAGTACTTGAATGGCCGTCATGATGTCAATACATTTGCTCATGGAAAAAGGATTAGATGGAGCACTAGTGTTCTCTTCTTCCCTCTCATCTGCACTACGATTGCTAGCCCTCGATCCCATAGTCCACTTCTCCGCAAGCTCGTCCGTCAAGCTAAAAATGGCATCCGCAAGTGATTGTCCTGGGCCGCTTCTGTTCCTCCTATTTCTCGCTCTTCCATGGCCAGATGTGTTTGGTCATTTTTTCCCTGTTGTCCGATCAAGATCAGGTTCAAAGTCGCTATCATCCATGGGAACCGCGCCGGCATTGGAATAACTGGAGGTCTCCACCGGTTGGGATGTAGATGTGTACGCATATCTTCCAATGGCAGTTTGCTTCTCAAATATTATTTCATAAAGCTCCTTATGAGGAAGTCCCTTGTGGTAAAATTGTTGCGCCAGTGGGTTTTGCTGGTAAGTTAAAAGAATAATATATTAATATTTAGCAGTCCAAAAAAAATTGGTACATTTATGGTGTCGTTGAATAATATTAGTTAAAAAATATGAAAACTTACCTTGACATATTCTTGCCAGACCTCAATGGGACACGTTGGACTTTGTGACTCGTGATCCCACTCGAACGCCATGTGTTGCAGCAATTTCTACCATGCTTGATAAGTTCTTCGCAGGCGAAAGAACTTAGAGGTTAATTGTGTGACATTGAGTCTCCTACCAGCCACTGATGATATGTCATCCAACATTGCCTGGTAATCTGCTGTTTTTATTGCAGTACCGTGCAAAGTTTTGGCCCGCTCAAATAACAAGACCAGAAATTTGTGGGTCATCTCAGCAGACCAGGCCACAGAATCACTCATCTAAGGACAGTACGGTAAAGGACAACAAACATTGGGACACCATATGAATCACCAATCACATTAAAAAATATAATACTAACATGTGGTGGTAATCAAGTAAACATAGATAAACTTATACCTCATTCGATCCGACACTGCTTGATGATGTCAATGCAGGGGCAGATACAAACAATGTCAACCAACTGGGTGTATGATGAACTCCAATTCTAGAAAAACGTCGAAACTTTCGCCTCTGCTTCAAGTAGTAATCAACCCTGCGATGTCGAGGCAAATTATACTGACATCTATGCATATGAGCGTAATTTGTTGTTATGATTAAAGAACGATGTCGAATCTACAGAAAAAATATATCAGTTAGTGAAATCCGAAAAAAAATATTTCTAATTATCCAATAATTTTTTACGCCCAAAATTTATCCATTACATACAGAATGTTACATACAAAACATATGAAGCTGCACAATTTTTTGACGCTTGTGTTAAAAGGAAAAAAAGTACTAACAATGGCAAAATTAAAATAGAAATAAGTACAATTGCGTTGGGTGTCTTCACAGAAGCTAACTGGGTTCGCAAAAGCCAACGAGTCTCTTTACAACAGATTTATAAACCTGCAAAAAAAAAAAAAAAACAGATTAATCTCATTCGCAAACTCCAGCCCCAAACAAATTCACACACATATCATACAGACAACATATTTACAAACCTGCAAAAAAAAAAAAACAAATTAAACTCATTTGCAAACTCCAACACCGAACAAATTCATGCGCTCATCCAACATGTACAACACATTTACAAACTTGCCGAAAAAAAATCCAAAACTTTCCCTTCACTAAAATCAAATATTTCCGGTGACAAATCTGATGGTTTGACGAGTTTGTGGCTTAACGGTGAACAATCAAAGTGTTTGTGGCTTGACGGTGGGTATCGTGGTGGTCCGTCGGTGGTTGTGGTGGGNAAAAAAAAAAAAAAATAGATTAAACTCATCTGCAAACTCCAACACCAAACAAATTCACGCGCTCATCCAACATGTACAACACATTTACAAACCTGCAAAAAAAAAAAAAAAATCCAAAACGTTCCCTTCACTAAAATCAAATATTTCTGGTGACAGATCTGATGGTTTGACGGTGTTGTGGCTTAACGGTGAACGATCGGAGTGTTTGTGGCTTGACGGTGGGTATCGTGGTGGTCCGTCGGTGGTTGCAGTGAACGATCGGAGTGTTTGTGGCTTGACAGTGTTGTGGCTTAACGGTGAACGATCGGAGTTTTTCACTGAAATGCTGAAGTGAAGAAACAATGAAGAAGCTGCTAATGTAAACTGAAATGGTGAAGTGAAGAAGAAAAGTGAAACCGTGCATAATGTAAACTGAAATGGTGAACAGGTGAAGTGAAGGAGCGTGAAAGAAGAAATGACGAACCCGTGAAAAAGGACTAC